CAACGTTTTTGACACAGAAAAACGCCCATACATTTCCTTGTAAGAAAACCCCGTCAATGCGACCACCCCGTCAGTACGTGTACGGCAAACGGCCACATTCTAAAATCCCAACCTGTGTACGTCACTGAATAATTTTACCCCGTTTGTACGGCCACTCGAACCAGTTATGTTCATCTTTTCAATGTCAATATTGAATGAACTGATTGAAGTTTCAATTTTTTGACATTATATCTGCATTCTGGATGCCTATTGAAGGGCAGTTGTTTAGAGGTGCAATTGTGAATATCTGTACGTCACTCAATTTAATTAAGACCAGTCAGGAGTAGTGCTAATACCGCCAAATTTTCGTGGCCCGTTGGTGACCGCATAAGCGGGGTTCCACTGTATTCTTTGAGTCTGTTAGTCTAGTGATCGAGAATACTAGTATATTAGAATTGAGCACATGTTGACCCTTTTTCCCATGAGAATAAACAAAGAGAAATTATATCAGGCAAGGTTAAGAGATGTAATCCCCCATTGGCTTTATTCCCATGATAATCCCTATCAAGTTGTGTTTAGACCACTTTACCATGTCTAAAAATAACCTGAGAGGAATTGCCTTAACGCCTATATGGCGGATTAACTAGCTTCAAGTTACTCTTCATCCACTCTTAACTACTTCGATAACATTTAAAACTTACCTAACTGCTTGACAAGGTCCACTTTGTGACTTGCACCCACCACACCCACCACATTACAGCTATTGATCTTTGCAAGCTGCACCAGCATACTTCCCACTCCCCCTGCGGCAGAGTGCACAAGTATCCAGCTACCAGCTCGGGGTCTGGCAAGTTCAAACATTCCGTACCAAGCGGTCAAAGCTACAGTCAAAAATCCAGCTGCCTCGTTCGTATCGAAATTTCTCGGTAGTGGAAATATCTGATGTTTTGGCACTCTGATGCGTTTTGAGTAAGCTCCAAATACAGAAACACCGAAAACCTTTTGGCCGATCTTAAAGTTCGTCACATTTTCGCCTTTACTTTCGATTTCACCACTGAATTCAAAGCCAGGTGTGATCGGCCAGCCTGCGAAATTCTTCGCTGACTTGTACAAGCCCCAACGAGTGCAAACGTCGGCATGGTTTACACCACAGGCGTATGTTTTGACAACAACTAAGTCTTCCTCTTTGATGTTCTCTAGTTTGATGTTAGCACTTTCTGTGTACTGATCCTCCAGAAGTTCTGTGTATACAAGCTTGTTATATCCGCCAGGTGAAGGGATTTTAATCATCCTTGTACCTCTCGAGACAACGATAAAACTCAAGAAAAGGATAAAAGGCGAGTAAAAACCCGCTCCGAATGATAGAGCAAAGCTCGAAGTCCATAGATAACTTAAATTCAGCCATAGGTCCACAAGGACAGTCACAAAAACCCGAGACGGACAAAAACTCGTGATGGTCAAACTTGGCGAAACGTGACGGTCGAATGACGGACGGACGCATTCCGTAGCATGTTTATAATCGTTTAAAGTTACACACCTTATTGCCGAGTGTGTATTTTAACTATTAATAAAAAACGTCACCCTTTTAAATGCTGAAACAGAACTTTAAAATTCAGGAGTGGAAGAGAAAACGCGCCAAAATTATAAAGACTGCTGTTCGTGATTCAGATAAGACTGTCCTAGAACCAGGGTCATCGCTGTTACAATTTACAGGACAAAACGCAACAGATCTGTGCAGGATTATTTGTCAGATCCGTGACTGCGACTGGATACAGATTCTTATAATTAGTTCCGTAGCTAGTTTCGCGAGCGTGAGCGAGAGGGTTCCACAGGAAACGCAGCTGAAAGGGGAGTCGGTTTAGACAGGAGTTAAACTGATCCAACTTGGAGGATTAAGTCTCAAGTCGTACAAAGTAGATAAAACGATACGCGAAGGGGAGATAAACTGACCTCTGTAGGTAATACACTTCTTTTATTGCATATTGAAATCGAAGCTCCCAAGTAGGGTATACTGTATCAAGAAGTGATCGCAAGAAGAGTACACAAATTTTCTCTCAATCAAGACAACGTTTTGCATTGACAAAACAGTTTTTCAAGGAAAAGAGAAAGTTCCCAATACTCACAAAAACACGAATTCACATGTTCACTGTTCGAACTCCCTTGGTTAGCAAGTTTGTTCTTCTAAATTTATTGTATAAACTTCTATATACAAGTTATCTTGGCTTTGAGCCCATCCTCGCGTCTGGCCCTGCTAAGAATCCGTCTTTGTTCTTTTAATTATCTTCTCTTTGAAATCCCAAATTTGTTGTGGATGTCACTCCGTTTTTCTTGGGGTTTTAAAGAAGCGTCCTCAATTGACTATCTCGCCTACCTCATGCGTAAAGGCCTCGAATAATCAAAGGAAGGCTAACTGGAGATAAAATTTGGAGGAAAAATTCGTTGCCCTTTGCGTAGAAAAAGGCGTGCCTGAGTACGAGACAGTCACTCTACAGGAGCGACGCAAACTCAAATGCAAACGTAAGCGCAAAACAAGAACAAACCTTCGCGATGTCACACGTGTGAAGCACGAGCTTACAAAAGGAATGCAAGTTCCTAGATTTAGATGGCGGGCACAGTGTTTTCACGTGAAACAAACTCCCTTGCATTGCGGGCTTAACCAGTCATTTCAAAAGCATTTCTTGGAATAGCGGCTAGGTAGCTAAGCAGATATGAAACAACGAGTACTCAGCTACGCATACGGCGTCGACAAAACCTGGATCGGACCGGACCGGATCACGGATCGGATCACGGACCGGATCACGGATCGGATCACGGATCGGATCA